GCCGCACACCATTAAGTCCCAGCTGTCGGCGTTGGCCTACTGGTCAAAAGCGCAGGGTCTTTCGGATCCCACTAACAATTTCCGCCTACATAAAATCATTGCGGGTTGGGCACGTCAACGGGGACCATCCCTTGATAAAAGGGAGCCCTTGTCGCCCACAATTTTAAAGGGATTAAGGGGAACATGGCCCAGAGTATGTAGGTCGGAGTATGAGCAGCGGTTATTCCACGCGGCAGCATTGACGGCTTTTTTCACTGCTCTTAGGATAAGCGAGTTACTGGCCATGTCAAAGGGTGATGTCTCTCTGCGGGCATTGCTGTTGCCAGATATAAAGCTAGCGCATGACACCCTCCAAATTTTAGTACGTTCGTCCAAGACGGACCAGCAAGCCAAGGGCGCTGTGATTACATTGGCCAGATGCAGTGACCCTGAGCTTTGCCCTGTTTCGGCTATGGCACAGTTCATTCAAGTTAGGGCTCAGGCGGGGAGATATTTGTTTTGCCATCAGGGTTCCACCCCCCTTACTAAATACCAGTTTTGGGCCATCACTGATAGGGCGCTGAAGATGCTGGGGTTGGGTTCTCACAAATTTGGCACTCACTCTTTCCGAATTGGAGCGGCATCTTCGGCAGCTCACTTGGGTTATAATGAGGAGGCCATTAAATCAATTGGCAGGTGGAGATTAGGCGCTTATAGGCGATATGTTCGCTCGGTACTTGTTTGAGTTTGTTGTTTATCTTTCAGAAACTGCCAGGCTGGCGCATAGATGGAGAATCCTTGTTTGTGGGCATAGTTATGTCCACTGGGCGGAGAGATACGCCAGGAACTCGTCCTTTGGCCAGCATCTGGGTTGCGCTTCCACTGCATTGGTCGAGTGGAAGGGTGTTCGGGGCCTTCGTTGGGACGGTTTAGTTCCCTTGTTGTTCCAGGACAGGAGCAGGCCCACTCCTGATGTTTTGGTGCTCCATATTGGAGGTAATGATCTTGGCCTGCTTAACGGCAGGGCCTTGTATCTACAGGCTCGTGCTGACATTTTGAAGATCTGGCAGGCATGGCCCCGGGTTCACATCGCTTGGTCGGCCATCATTCCACGCCTTCGGTGGCCAGGAGGCGGTGACGTCAGGAAGCTAGAGAAGGCCAGAAAGCGTGTGAACCGGGCCATGCGCACGGCTTTAGCACGGGGCAGAGGATCTTACATTCCACATAAGGACATCACGCATGACAAAACACAGTTTTATCGTTCTGATGGTGTACATTTAACAGATTTGGGTAACGCACAATTTTTAGCTGATTTGCAGTTAGGCATTCAGNTCAGGAAGCTCGAGAAGGCCAGAAAGCGTGTGAACTGGGCCATGCGCACGGCTTTAGCACGGGGCAGAGGGTATTAGATTCCACATAAGGACATCACGCATGACAAAACACAGTTTTACCGTTCTGATGGTGTACATTTAACAGATTTGGGCAACGCACAATTTTTAGCTGATTTGCAGTTAGGCATTCGGGAAGTTTTAAGGGGCTTGGTGGGGGATGGGGGCGAAATAGACATTTGCCCCCAATCTGTGGCATAAATAGTTCAGGAAAACACTGACATGGAGGTATACACATGGCACCCATTAAGGGTGGGGGGCACCGTACAACAAACACTCACCTAGAAGTCAACAAATAGGTGAGGGGACATCAATTGGCCCAGTAAAGAGAGAAGCTGATATAAATAATCGGACACAGGCTTCTCCAGATTTTTACCTTCAGGTTGCCCGGTTGGGGATCCAGGGCACACAGACATCACACACTAAGTAGCTGGGGACGCTGCCTCAGCTTGCCACCAAGTTCCTTGACACTTAGTTTAGTTCAGGTAAAGTTAAATAGGTAACATTCAATAAAAGTTGCCCAATTTGAATCCATACATTTGTTGTCTGTCTCGTTATTTCAGGGGTTAAGGGGCAAATCTTCGTGATGTTCCTCCCATGTGGATCCTTTTCAAATATTATAGTACAGCTATATAGTATATAGTATGTGTGACACTAGTCAACATGGAACAGAGGCCACACCATGAAGATACCATAATTCATTCACAGAGATGACCCTGTCACACAACAGAATGAGGCAGCCATCTGAGAGATCAGATTTGGAATATCACAAAAGGACACAATGCTCTTTGTTATTTCCTGTATTATTATTGTATCTTTGCTGCCAAGAAGAAGGATAGGATAAGATAACTAAGCTGACTTTGGCTACTATGCACTTTGCCCAGGGGAGAGGAACATATATTTACCGCCTCAGGGAGCAAAGTTTCTCCGACTGTATCTACCCCAACAAACCCAGATAAAAACAGGTTCACTTAAATTCATTCTATCACATACTCACTAAATGCTAGGATCATTCACACTCAAACTCCTTTCAGATCAGACATCTTCTAGTAGTCTAGGGGACATATATACCTTGAATGCTAAAAAATACTAACAAAGAATAACATTTCAGAAATGGCCAGCAGACCATTTTTGGTTTCCTTGTTTTTACCTTGGCTTGAGAGAGGAGATGGGAAAAACAAACCCAGAAAAGTCCTAGGTTGCAATTTGCTCTAGATCAATTCAAACTGCAGTGTGCAAAATAAAAGCACACTGTTTAGAAACCATTTCCAGATGACTCAGGCCCCTTCCACACAGCTGAATAAAATCCCACATGTTCTGCTTTGAACTGGAATACATGGCAGGGTTGACTCAGATAACCCAGTTCAAAGCAGATATTGTGGGATTTTCTGCCTTTGAATTTATATGACTGTGTAGAAAGGCCTTCATGGTATGCCAACAAATGTACTTTGGTTTATGTAATCAACAGTTTGTTTGAAAAATGTAGCTGGGCATAAACACAGCACTTTAGTTTAGCAATTTCAAGGACACTAAACCACAGTAAGTGGAATTCAACAGCAGCTTGCTGTGTTATGTAAGTGGCAGCCTTTCATTTTTAGTTTAGAGTTGTGTAACTGCTTTTGATTTCTTTTAATTTGATGGGCCTTCTTTCTTTAGCACAATCACTTCAATTCATATACGAATACCAAGACCACAGGGCTTCTTGGCACAGTTCTTAGTACAGTTGTGGTGGTGGTGGTTGCATGTTTTCAAGTTGTCTCTAATGAACCCTAAGGCAAACTTAGCAAGATTTATTTGAAGGGTTGTCTTCAGGCCCTTCCACACAACTATATAACCCACAATATCTAGGCGGATCACCCACAATCTCTGCTTTGAACTGAGTTATTAGAGTCCATACTGCCATATAATTCAGTTCAATGTGGATTTATACAGCTGTGTGGAAGGGGCCTGCCTCTGAGGTTCAGAGAATTTGATATACCCAGAGTCACCCAGTGGGTTTTAATGGCTGGCTAGGAATTTGAACCCTGGTCTCCCAAACTGCTTCACCACATTAGCTTTCTAGTCCCAAGTATAAGCTCTCTTTACCTCTCTGGCAGCTCTCTCTCCAGCCTGTACGGCTCCTTCCATATAGCCACTCCACTGTGTAGCTGTTTCAGTGCCAGCAAAGTAGATCCTTCCAGCTGGCTGACGAATTACCCTTTGAAAGAAACATTACAACACATGTTATGAGAACAGAGATAAAACAGCCCAGCAAAAAATAAAATAAAATAAAATATTGGTGTCTTGGGTTTTAGGCCTCTTCCTAAGTTTATTTTGGGGTGCTGATTTTGAAAACTGCATTGGATAGAACACATCAGCTTTAGTTTCTTAGGGTCCTTCCTTCCACACAGCCATATAACCCAGAATATCAAGACAGATCCACAATTTCTGCTTTGAAATGGATTGTCTGAGTCCATATAGCCATACAATCCAGTTCAATGAGGATTTTGTACAGCTGTGTAGAAGGGACCTTAGATATGGCTATCATGGTTTTCTATGGGGGTTTTTTTGTGTCAGGAGTGACTTGAGAAACTGCAGGTTGCTTCTGGTGTGAGAGAAGTGGTCGTCTACAAGGATATTGCCCAGGGGACACCTGGATGTTTTACCATCCTGTGGGAGGCTTCTGAGCAAATGGTGACTGGTAGATTGCATATGTTCTTTATCTCAAAAACTAGATCTGATAGGTAAAGATGAAGTATTTTGGTTACATTATGAGAAGACAGGAAAGCTTAGAGAAGACAATGATGCTGGGGAAAATGGAAGAAAAAAGGAAGAGAGGCTGACCAAGGGCAAGGTGGATGGATGGCATTCTTGAAGTGACTGGCTTGACTCTGAAGGAGCTGGGGGTGGTGACGGCCGACAGGGAGCTCTGGCGTGGGCTGATCCATGAGGTCACATGTTGGAAGCGACTGAATGGATAAACAACAACAACAAGATCTGATAGGGGGAAACTGATACCGTTTTTGGAATCAGCAGATCAGATATACTAATATTTGAGGCAACCAAATGTGTGATGGCCAGTACAATCATCCACTTGCAGGTAATGGCTCCTTTTTTTATATTCCAATATGCATCAATGGCAAGAGAGATATGCTACTACACAGTTGAGTGTAGTGCTGCATTGAATTTGCTTGGTTAAAAAGAAATTGTGCCTTCAGGAAATATCCTACCTGCCCCAACAAAATTACAGGTTTGAGGATATATTTTTGTTTCATAAATGGATAACTTCAAAAGGAAGGGAGCGGCAATATATCCATGTTATCTAATTGGGTTAATATCTAATTGAAGATGCTGCCATGGGGAGTTCAAAGCCTCATTGCCCATTTGAGACTTATAGAAAAACATTCATGCTTACCCAGGTCTATCATACCTAGAATCTACAATCAACCGTAAATAACTGTGTTAAAATATTGGCTTAGATATACCACAAACCATCTATATCCAAGGATAAAGCTTCATGCACTTAATGAAAAATCCCAGGGCAAAAGAACATGTCTATAAGCAAAAAGAAGATTTTTGTTTTGCTAACATGACTACCTAACACATTTATTACTCTATAAATTATCTTAAAATATGTTGCATGAGCAAAATACTCTACAGTTCAAGTTTCTGACAACCATATCAAAGAAAAATATTGTATTTAGTTTTACCTTCCATATTGGGACATAATTCCTGGTGGAAAATAGGCTGTATAGCAACCGCCAGAATATTGTTCCGCACCCCAGTTTTTTTCTTCATAATGCACTGGCTGTAAGATGGTCAAGTGAAACAAAATTCCTTTTAGCATCCATAAGCCTTTCATTTTTTGTGTGTGCAAGTGTCTGTTCTTTAAAATGCAACTTATTTCGAAAGGCATCATAACTTGGTCTCAGGATATGAAATTTCAGGGCTTAGTTACTTTGACTCTCTTTTATGAGAAAGTGCCATATAAATAAATAAATATTAATAATGTTACCATTCAACAACAACAACAACACTACTATGGCAACCCTCACTGTCAATCTTTCAAATATACCCAAACTATGCTCATATCTCATACTAGATATGCTGTGGATACCAAGATCTGTGGATGCTCATATTCTATTACATGCAATGGTGCAGCAAAATAACATTGGAATTTCAGGGATGGGGATGGAGGCAGAGGAATATTTTTTAGCTGTGGGTGGTTGAATCTATTGATATGGAACCCATGGATGCAGAGGGACAGCTTTACAATGCCATACATTGTGTTTGTGTAAAACTTACAGAACCCATGGATCAATTTTCATGGGAAGGTTCCTCTAACAATACAGGCTCAGATGCTTCATAAGGCAATAAGGGGCAAGATAATATATGGGACATTTTTTCCTGGTCTTGGGCACTTCATCTTCTCCACCAGGATATGGGCCTGAAAGACCAAGGAAAAATGTGGGTGCTGGAAAGTAAGTTATAAGCAAACACAATTTCTGACAACAGTCGTTATGGATTGAGAAGCAGACCTATGGAAGAATTAACATGATCTGTTTTCTTGAATTTGTAGGGCTTATACCAGCATGTGATGATCTTAACCCTGATCTTCAACCAACAGATTACTTTGGATCACTGAATCAATATATAAACAGAGTGCAATGGATAAAAAAGACTCTTATAGAAGACTCAATACACTGTAATCTTGTATCAGATTCTGAACAATCTTTCTCTAAGGCAGGATCCAGTTTCAGTCATCCACTCAAAACAAAAAGCTAGAAATCATATAATATCTTCAATCAAAACTGTTAAAAGTTATAACAGTATTCATCTGTCAAGCTTCTGAAAATCCTGTTTTCTGATATAGCAGGGTGTAGTTCAAGATTTTAACATTCACAAAATGTGTTGTTTTAATACTGAGAAAAGGGCATTGCTATTAAAGAAGAGCAAAAGGCCAGAATCTGACATTTCCTGCTTTTTCCGCATTCATTGTTTCCTTTCTCCCCTTTCTCTAACTGGGAACCTAACACAGAAGGGCTTAAAAGTATTCTCTTATTCAAAAATCAAAATAACATTCAAAGTGCAAGGTAAAATACTTATGATCCATTATGATATATGATACTTATGACCTAGTCTAGGAACTAACAGTTTATGTAGCTGATCCATAAATTGTATTCATTTAATATTCCACCAGTATTTGCTGCTCTTATTTCTTACATGTAATGCTTCTTCTGATCCCAACACTTTTGCATACAGTTCACATATTCTTTTCTTCCTATACAAAGATAGAAAATATAAAAATAAAGTGTTATAGTTTCAACAGATAAGATAGTATTAATGACAAAAATACTACAGACAAATCCTGTATTATTTCACCAGTACAGTGTTCTGACTGAGGGAAGAAAAGATTGAGTATTCCTTACCAGAAACAGAAGTGTTTTGGATTTTGTTGGATTTTGTTAACTCTGTGTTTTCATAAACATACAAAATAAATATCTCGAAGAAGAAGCCCAAGCCTAATCACAAAATTCATTTATGTTCTATATGTGCCATATACACATAGCCTGGAGGTAATTGCATACAGAATGTTGTGCATGAAACAGAGTTTATCTACACGGAACATCTGAAAATAAGGGTGTTACTACCTCAACAGGGAGCTCTGGCGTGGACTGGTCCATGAGGTCACGAAGAGTCGGAGACGACTGAACGAATGAACAACAACAACCTCAACCAGTCAGGTGTATAATTTTGGAGTATTTCAGATTTCAGAATTCTAGATAAGGGATGCTCACTCTGTATTACTATAGTCCATTTTGGTTCTTTATTTGGCAGTTCTGGGCACACATATTTTAGAAAGGATATCAATAAGCTGGAACATGTTCAGAGAAGGATGATCAAGATTATCAAGAGACTAGAAACTAAATCTTGGGAATGGCTTAAAGGGGGATGGTGCTCATCTCCATATCTAAGCCAAAGAGCTGGTGTTGTCCGTAGATGCCTCCAAGGTCATGTGGCCAGAATAACGGCATGGAATGCTGTTACTTTCCCACTGGAGTGGTATCTATTGATCTCCTCACATGTACATGCTTTCGAACTACTAGATTGACAGAAGCTGGGACCAACAGCGGGATCTCACCCTGCCCCCCAGTTTCAAACCACTGACTTTTTGGTCACCAAGTTCAGCAGCTCAGCAGTTTAACCTGCTGTGCCACTGCGGGCTCCAGTGAATGACTTAGGAAGTGGGATATATTTAATTTGGGCAGGAGAACACAGAGATGTAGCATGTTAGCCATTTTAAAACATCTGGATAGATGTCCTATAAAAGATAAAGTCAGCTTGCTTTCTGTTCCTCTAGAGACAGGGAAATGAACCAATGAAATTAGACTACAAGAAAAGAGATTCCTCATAAAGATGAAGGATAACTTTTTTGTTTTACTATGAGAGCAATTTGACAGTGGAATAGAAGGACTGGGAGAATAGTGGATGTTTCATCTTTGGAAGTTATCAAATATAGGGTGAATGGGCATCTTTCAGGAGTGCTTTATTTTTATATTCCTGCAAGGCAGGGAGATGGGTTAGATAGATGGCCCTTATGGTATCTTCCAATATGAAGATTCTATGATTTCATGATTTGTGGAAACAGTACTTCTCACATATTCTAAAGTTTAAACACAAAGAAGTTAGACTTCATCCAGCTTCTGAATACAGTAGGTGGATTCTCAACCCCATTACAATTTGGAAGTTGGATGGATCTGGAGAGCTTCCATTTTTATTGGCAGAATAACCCATATTGTTTTTTCTTCATCTTAGATGACAGCAGAAGGCAATGGGTATTAGTCCCACCCTCCACATAACCAGTCGCCTAGATTACAAAACCATTTATCTCATTCTCTCTCCAACCACCAATCTATAAACAGAGTGAGTTTGTTTTTTCTTAGTGAAATCTCTAACATATCATCCACTGCATGTACAGAAAGTTGCTTAGTTATGGATGGTTGTTGTACAGTGAGCAAAAACGTGCTTTGCACTGCACTGCTTTTGTTTCATGGACTGTGAAATTGCATTTATTTTGGGGAAACATGTAAATGTAAAAATCAATGTGATGTAGTAACTGAAGTACTGAATGTGCAGGACAGAAATTTGAGGTCAAATCCTTCAAAGGAGCAAAGGTCATTCTCTCTCTCTCTCTCTCTCTCTTTTGTAGCCAATTTTAAAGGCTGCAAATTTTCCATTTCCTAGCAGTAATGGCTAGGCTGTTGAGCTAAGCCATAGATGAAAGCTCAATGGAAGAAGGAGACTGAGATTTTAAAATTAATTAATTGATAAAAATAAGAATGGAAATTACTATATATGATGGTGGTGATTAATAGTAGTACTGTATCCTGATTGTCTTTTGTTGTTTTACTCCATATGTTAACAGAAAAAATGCCTTAATTTCTGATTATAAAGAAATCTCTGAATTATAGAAATTAATTTTGATTAAAGAAAAAACACTTTTCAATTATAGTTATATTTAGAAGTTGTTTATTCTTACCTCTCTTCTTTGCTAAGTTCTGTTAATCTAAATGCCTTTCTTGCAAGGATGAAGCTACATAGAAAAAGAATTGCATAAATTAATATGATGTTTGAAAAATATATACATGTAAAATATTTGTCATAAAAATAAATACACAGATAATACAGATTATTCACTGGGTACAGAATTTGCTCTGGGCTGTAATTTGAACATTAAAAGATCTACACTACATGATAAACTTAAGAATCTGATGAGAGTATGCTGAGCAACCTCTGAGCATACATTCTTCTTATCCTGCTTCTTATTTATTTATTTAATACACTTGTATACCGCTAATATCTCAGCCTAAGTCGGCGACTCATTGCGGTTTACAACAATTAAAAACAATATACAATTTAAAACAACAACACATAGACAATACAAATTATTGGGCCACCAATAATAATACCATGTATCTCGTCACCAAAATCACAGTCCAGAATTCGTCATCCATAATTAACCAGTCCTTAGTCCATAAAATTCGGTGATAACAAACTAACCGAATGCTTGTTTACACAACCATGTTTTTAATCTCTTCTGAAACACCATCAGCGAAGAGGCTGATCGTATCTCTATAGGGAGGGTGTTCCAAAGCCGAGGGGCCACCACAGAAAAGGCCCTGTCTCTCGTTCCCACCAGCCGCACTTGGGAAGCCGATGGGATAGAGAGCAGGGACTCTCCAGAAGATCTTAGGGTCCTGGTGGGCTGATAGGCTGAGATACGTTCGGATAGATAAGTTGGGCCAGAACCGTTTAGGGCTTTAAAGGCCAAAACCAGCACTTTGAAATGAGCCCGGTAGCATATCGGCAGCCAGTGGAGCTGGTGCAGCAGAGGAGTTGTGTGCTCCCTGCGCCCCGCTCCTGTTAGTACCATGGCTGCCGCCCGTTGGACTAGTTGGAGCTTCCGGGCTGTCTTCAAAGGCAACCCCACGTAGAGAGCGTTGCAGTAATCGAGGCGGGATGTAACCAGAGCGTGGACTACCGTGGCTAGGTCGGACTTCCCAAGGTACGGTCGCAGTTGGCGCACAAGTTTTAATTGTGCGAATGCTCCCCTGGTCACCGCCGAAACCTGGGGTTCCAGGCTCAGCGATGAGTCCAGGATCACACCCAAACTGCGAACCTGCGTCTTCAGGGGGAGTGCGACCCCATCCAACACAGGCTGTAACCCTATACCCTGTTCGGCCTTGCGACTAACCAGGAGTACCTCTGTCTTGTCTGGATTCAATTTCAATTTGTTCGCCCCCATCCAGACCGTCACAGCGGCCAAGCACCGGTTCAGGACCTCGACAGCCTCCTTAGTAGCAGGTGGAAAGGAGTGACAGAGTTGGACATCATCTGCGTACAGATGACATCGCACTCCGAAACTCCGGATGATCTCGCCCAGCGGCTTCATGTAGATGTTAAACAACATGGGAGACAGTATTGAACCCTGAGGAACCCCACAAGACAAAGGTTGTGGGGTTGAACAGGAGTCTCCCAGTAACACCTTCTGAGACCGACCCTCGAGGAATGAGTGGAGCCACTGCAGAACAGTACCTCCCAAGACCCATCCCCGCGAGGCGTCCCAGAAGGATACCGTGGTCGACGGTATCGAAGGCCGCTGAGAGGTCGAGAAGCACCAACAGGGACACACTCCCCCTGTCGAGCTCCCGGCGCAGATCATCCACTAAGGCGACCAAGGCTGTCTCGGTACCATGCCCCGGCCTAAAGCCAGACTGTGCCGGATCCAGATAATCCGTGTCTACCAAGAACGCCTGGAGTTGTGAGGCCACCACACGTTCCATGACTTTGCCCAAAAAGGGGAGATTGGAAACAGGCCGATAGTTGACGAATTGAGTGGGGTCCAGTGATGGTTTCTTCAACAGCGGTTTTATTACAGCTTGTTTTAAGCTGGCTGGAATTTTGCCTTCCCGAAGGAAGGCATTAACCACCACCTTCACCCACTCGGCCAATCCCCCTCTGGCCTCCTTCAGAAGCCAGGATGGGCAGGGGTCTAGGATGTATGTGGTAGCTCTCATTCCTCCAAGCACCTTGTCCACATCCTCGGATTGAACCAATTGAAATGAATTGTTATCCTAGCACAGCTGTAAATAAAAACGTGGAAACCCTGAGCTCACAGTATCCAATGTGGTTTAGTTTCAGGACCCTGCCTTCATGTACAGTGGAGTCCCGCTTATCCAACATAAATGGGCTGGCAGAACATTGGGGAAGCAAAAATGTTGGATAATAACAAGGAATTAAGGAAAAGCCTATTAAACATCAAATTACATTATTATTTTACAAATTAACAACCAAAAATCATGTTTTACAACAAATCGACAGAAAAAGCAGTTCAATTAATGATAATGTTATGTAGTAATTACTGTATTTACAAATTTAGCACCAAAACATCGCAATGTATTGAAACAGCTATGAATCCGGGCGGGAGGCAGACTGCGTTGGATAATACGGAACGTTGGATGAGTGAAGGCTGGATAAGCGAGACTCTACTGTATATCAAAATCTGTGAATGCTCAAGCCCCATTATATACAATGGTGGAGTAAAGTGATGTCTCTTCTGTATAATGGAAAGTGATTCAAACGAATGTTAGAGACAGCCTGAAGATCACTGAAATTACAGGATATTACAACAGACTATGTCTATGTATCAGCATAGTGCTCACTATGTGACAAATTATGGTTTGCTTTTTGTTTAGTCCTCACCTCACCCCCAAATATTTTCAAGCTATGTTTGGTTGAATCCATAGATGCAGATCCCATTAATTCAAAGACCTGACTGTATTGAGTAGTGATGTTCCATTGATGGACCAATGGGATCTAGAAAAACTGGGCAGGGAATAATCCGTTCCTCGCCACTGTAAATTGCAGTGCACTTTTATGACCAGGGTTGGAAGGGTCAGCATCCCTTGAAAACAGACTTTTGGAGAGAATAAAAGAATAAAGGGGAACAACTGACTATGAATTCCATAGCTTCATATCATTCAGTCCTGCTCAGTATACAAAGTACTGGATTTATTACCCCATAATGGCAGGCACAGACCCATCAGGTTTAGTGTCATCTAAGGTTACTGAAATGGGAGCCTCTTCATCCACAATGATCATGGCACCACAGAATCCTGACAAGAAATAGGAAGACAGGATAGTCACGAATTAAATACACAGTATGAAGTACTAATTCCAGCCAAATATCAGATGATCACGTTCAATCTTTTTTTTTTTTAAAGCACTGTTCTTGTAAACTGTCATTCAGAACAAATCCTCTGATTTCTCTAAACTGCCTGACTTTCTTTGTGCGGCTCTTGATCAAAGCAATGCAAGAATTACTTTAATGTATATCTTACCACCCCTTGTCATGTACAGTGACAACTCAAATATTTAAAACCACTGAAACATTACAATAAGTTATACTGTACTTAAGGATGAATTGGACTAATTGAAAAAAGAAAAGAAAGCATTAAGCATAGCAATTGTATACATTTAATATGAACTTCCTAGACCAGGCCTGCAATAGTGGCTGAAACAGTGAGACCTTTGCTTTCTAATAGCTCAGTGTACACAACCTTTCTTCCATGCACACAATTACAAAAAATACTGTATAAAATTACCTTCAAGATATGTGTATGTGTGTGTATATATATATAATGTAATACAGTATAATACTAATAATATGATATTATTATTATATATTTTATATTACTAATAATATTACAATATATATTGTAATATTGTATATTATATAGTACAATATATAATACTGGTATTATATATTGCATGTATATATATCTTGGAAGCTGTTCTGAGTCCCCTTCAAGGTGAGAAGGGCAGCATATAAATGTTGTAAATAAATAAATAATTAATATAAAAGGGGTATATGAAACAGAGATTATTTTTGTGTTTAGACTTGGGTCCTATCTCTAAAATATTTCATTATATGCAAATATGCAAATACAGGTATTCAGAAGTCAAAAACACTTCTTGTTCCAAGAATTTTAGATAAGGGATGTTCAATGTGTAATTACAACTATCTGTAATTAATTCATTTTTCACTAACTAATTCTTAAAGAATACAGATAGAGGCTCTGACATTAGACAGGCTCAATTTTTCCCCAAAGGATCCAAAACCTGAAAGATTCCAAAAACTGAAACTTTTTGATGTTGCTGTTGCAGCCAATTGCAACATGGAGGAAAGGGGGCTAGTTACGCCCGCTAAGTTTGCTCAAGGAGCTCTCACTTCACCACTATCAGAAATTTGACAGGGGAAAGAGAAGGCTGGGAAGACTCCAGGTCCTGCAGCTTGACTTACATAAAGCCCATGTAAAAAGCAGATGTAAGCAGAAGGAAAAGTCTAAATGCATCCTGCTACCATGGACTTGGGGGATGTTCGAAAGCTCCTGCTACCTGGCAAAGGGCATTCATCCTGCCATATGCTGCCACTGACTCGTGTAAGGAGAGTTTGAGACACGGTGTGGAAATACTCAGAACTAATGAATGAGTAGTTTAATCCTTTTCCCAATTTCTTAATTATGTATATACAAATAAAGGAATTTTAAAAAAACCCAACCCCCAAGATCTAAAACCTAAAAAATCTTTGTGACCAAGTATTTTGGATAAGAGAGGCTCAACATGTTTTTACAATTTCTTTTAGTACCACCGGATGCTATCTATCTCACCCACGAAATGGTATTTTCAGTGATTCTCATTAAATTCTGCATAACTTGATACACACATACCCATCCTCTTCCAGAAGGCGTCTTTGTAGTACATCATGCATTTAATGACAGAGCCCATGGGAATGCGCTGAATTAACTGGTTTCTTTTGGTAGGAAGTGCTGGCTCGAAATGAATCTTTGTGGTTAAGACTGGGGGAATGGCACTGATCACATAACTGCCCTGCAAAATGTAATATAGGGAAGCTTCAGAGATATGTTTTATTGCATACTCAAAATATTTTTAATTCTTCACTTCAAGGCATACTGCTCTTACAAAGCAACTCATATGACTGTGAAACACATGAAAATATAATTACAATTAAAAACCAAAATTGAACTCAGCAGCTGATGATTTCTCCCTCCAACTACAGTACAATTCACCCAGATGTAGACAGGAATGAATGTGTCATCAGTTGCTGTTTTTTTTTTTTTAAAGCCCTGCAGTGCTGATCTCATACATCTCATCTCCTTTGGGAAATATAGTCTAGAAGCGTAACCATAGCATCTAAAGACTAACATCCTTATTAAGTATTAGCGGGATGCTCTTTTCCTACAAGTGCACAAATGGAAACGTTATACTGTTTCTAACTGTTTACACTCAGCATATCATTCAATCAAATATAACATGTACATTTGTACAATATTAATGCCATAATCAATGCAGTATTGGTCCAGTGATATAATAAAAAAAGAAGCCATGGACAGAGGAAACTGTCAATGTCAGAGCCTCATTACAGCAGACTTTGAGAAGAAGCTCTCATAATTAAATCAGCAAAAGAGATTTCAAGCACATTCCCAGAACAACATGCAAGGGAAGAGATTATTATAGTGAACTAAGGATGTTATCACACGAGGCTTCCAAAATGGGTTTGATCATCACAAACCTATATTGTACCTGGCATATTACAATAGCCAGTAAATACTTACTTTTGTTTCAGGATTTTGAAAATTGGGGTGCACACTAGATTAGATGCTGCATTCAACTTAAGTAAAGTAAAGGTAAAGGTTTCCCCTTGACATTAAGTCTAGTCATGTCCAACTCTGTATGGTGGTTCTCATCTCTATTTCTAAGCCTTAGAGCCAGCATGGTCCATAGCCGCCTCCTAGGTCATGTGGGCAGCATGACTGCATGGGGCGTCGTCATCTTCTTGCCAAAGCAGTACTTATTGATCTACTCACATTTGCATGTTTTCGAACTACTAGGTGCCAGAAGCTGGGGCTAACAATGGGAGCTCACCCCATCTGTGGATTTGAACCGCTTCCTTGCAAGAAAAGGAAATGTTTAATTAGGAGATGAAATTTGTATTAGCAGCTTGATGCAACCATGGATCAGTGCAGTTACTTGATTTAATTTTTTTTAAAGGAAGTGATTGAGGAGAAAGGAGAAACTTTTGGCTTAGTACCTAAACTTTTTCTTTTTCTGTTTACTGGAAGTGGCAATGGCAGCATACTGAGAACAAACAACAGAAGTGGAGAGGAGGAACACCCACAACACGCCAATAAAACAAACCCCTGACCCCAAAGTCACTGCAGGAGTGGCTTCACATTACTGCATGACTAAAATTGCTTTGGAAGGCTGGTTGCGTGTGGATTGAGCAGCTCTGAAATGGAATTTCAAAAACGACTGCTTCAACCTGACTTGAAGATTGGTTTACAATGAGTTTGCAATGATGTAATGTGATGGTAATCTTCTTAATTAATGGCTAGTGAACCTCCAGTGCAGCTTACAAACTCATGTGATAACATCCTAAGAGCTGATTATATTATGGCCTCATTTAAATGCATATGTTCTTAATGTTTTACCTTATAAGTCTCATGGTTAAGTGTCTTCACAATGATGCTGTCACCAGACTGATCAATATAAACTACAGGCCTCTCCAGTTTAACATTGTCCTTGAGTAGTTCATGGATCTTTTCAGTAATCTGTCCAGAACCCCCAACAAACTTCCTCTCCTGGAAAGAACATCAAGAGAATGAGGATCAGTAACAAATGATTAGCATCAGTAACAAATGATTTGGGTAATGGAGCCCAGAGTCAATGCTAAATAACATGCTATGATAAATCTCCTCCTCCTCCTCCTCTTCTTTTTCTTCTTCTGTTTATTCCCCACTTTTTCTTTCCACAAAGGAGACTCAAAGTGCACAGCACACAGTATAAATTCAGTTGTAAACAGTACCTCAATCCAAATTGGGATTGTCAAACTTTAATAAAGAGTACTGAAGGAACTTGCAGATGTAACTTCAGAGTCACTATGTGTAATCTTTGAGAATTATTGAATGATAGGAGACATCAGAGCAGATTGAAAGGGGTGCATCTTTATTTAGTTTCACATTTTTAGTTAGGAACTGTCTCTATTCAGTCAAACTGAATGATGTGAGATTCCACATAGCCAGCAGTTGTGTATATTTATGCTGGGTGAACTGTTATGTACGTAAACATTAGATTTATTTGTACATTTAAAAATAAGTTACTGGAGCTAAGGTAAGAAAACTGGGACAAGCTAAAAATACGAAATGAAAAGACTCCAGCAGAGGAGCACTTAATCAACAACAGTATTTTGCTATTTAAAGTGTTATTTTGCTACTAAATTTCTCATGAGAAAGCAGTACTCAGCTGGTTTCTGTATCATCAAAGAGTGGAGAGCAGAACAGAAGCTTAATTTAATCTGACAGGCCAATTTCATTTTCTTTAGCAGAGAGAGCAAAACATGTATAAAAAGCATGCAAAATATACTAAGTGCCATACAAAGATTAGAGAACAAGACAGTTACAGACTGCCAGTTTACAATCCAAATGACATGATACAAGAAAATGGGATGAAGATGGGGTGTATCAGAAACTGGTGCCAAACTAACACTGATTTGTAGAAACTGTGTCTTGAAGAAGAAGATGAGATTTGAAAATGGGATGAAGATGGGGTGTATCAGAAACTGGTGCCAAACTAACACTGATTTGTAGAAACTGTCTTTGAATGTCCAGAAACTGTGTCTTTGAAAGAAGATTTGTATTCTATGTATTATTAAAGATGAGAGTTAGGAAGTCATAGAATTCTAGAGAGTAATCTAATACCATCTGAACTATTTCTTGGGAGTAAGTGCTTTGAAGACACAACTTTAAGTACCCCTAATAGGCATTTTATCTCTGAATATTTTTAGGACAGTACAATATAGGGCTTCATTAAAAGTACTCAAGATGTTAGATAGAAAGAAGAATGTAGATATTTTCAATCATATAAAATGAGTGAACTGCTGGCAGTCATGCAGGTTCAGGAACACTGAGCAGAATTATCGGTATATGTTGTCTACACTTAGATGCATTTAATGTTTCCTTTCCCCAGTTGTGCTCATCCAACATGGACTTTTAAAACATAAATTGGCTGTAGAACAAGAACCAGGATCACCTCCACCCATGATGGAAGGGGCAACATGATATAGGGCCATTGTATTGGATCCTCACACATTTTAAGCTGACCCTGCTGACATTTCTTCAGGGTCCTTCACCCAAAGATTAGCTCTTCTCATGTAGTGGAATATTCATGAACAATTGTAGTGCTGAAGAAGATGAGGCCATAACACTGAATACTGAGAAAGTAGGTCATTGTAATGAACTCATACCTTTTCTTCATAGGCTGCAGCCTGGAAGTCAGTGAGCTGGCCTCCATGTTGGGAAGGCAGCTCAGGATGGCAGACATGATGGTATAGGCAGAGAGGCAAGGGGAGGAGTCAGCTAACTCCTGATTGATTCAGACCCCAAGGGGAGGAGTTGAAGGAGAGTGTAAAGAAGCTGTCATTTCTGACAGAAGGGGGAGAGAAGGATTTGATCTAGCAGAGAAAAGATTAGGATTTCAGACAGGGAGAAGAGAGTTTCTTAGTGAGCTAGGAATTAGCCTGTTAGGGAATAATTAAAGAGCAAGTGTTTCTGTATAGCTTGACTAGGGCAGTCAAAGTGAAGGTTTGTTTACTTGTATTAGGACAGAATACAAGTGGGTTTATTTCCCTAAAGGTCAGGGTAGTCCAGGAGAAACCTAGATACTCTGGAAAGTAGCCAGGGGTGGCTGGTCAAAGAATCGCGCTGTTACATATTACAGGATAGAGCGAGGAAAGTAGCTCATGCTAAGGAAAAGTTACTCCTTCTAAAGAAACCATTTGCTTAATAAGTCTGTGCTTCAGAAACAAATTACGCGTATGTACCTCTCAGTAGTCAGTTGTTTGCTTCAAATACTTCAATAAACCTGTTCTCTAGTTTACTGTTAATCTGCCTCAGCCTTGTTTCATCATATAAGGTTAGATCCAGTAAGCCTCCACATCTCTACAGTTCAGTCACCAGAAAGGGAGCCAAAAGGAAGAGCCGGTGTATAGGGACATTTTACCTCAAGTACAACAACAAGACAATTCCTCAAACTGTAATTTGGGGTGGTGGCAGTAAACCTACCATTACACACTCACGTTATAACAACAACACTCTTGTTGAAGCACTTTGGGTCTGACAGGAGGGATTAGAGACGGTGTGTTGTCTCTCCTGCCTGTAAGAATACATGATCTTCTTTTACATTGGTGGCAGCGGTGGGATAAAAAGGAAAGGTCTCCCCTGCCACCTGCAAAACCATCGTTCATCCTTTTACAGTCGTCGTTTTAGAAGTTTCACATGTGAAAATGTGACTTTAAAATGTCTACTCTATGTAGGATGTGGAAAACAGGAATAACTTTAAGATTTTAGTACAAAGTAGAAACAGAAATAGGAATACTTGTAAGCTAAAGATGGCATGGGCCATAATTTTTTAAAAAGAAGATTGAGAAGGGTATCCAGAAAAATGCTCTGGGTTGAAAATAATAATAATAACAACAACAACAACAACAACAACAATTTTTTATCCTGCCCTATCTCCCTGAGGGGACTCAGGGGACAGAATAAATGGCAAACATTCAATGCCAACAAGACGTAACAAAAGAGATCAAATCATAAACAACATTAAAATATCATTATAAAATAGCCCAAACTAACAAAATTCAAAATTTAAATATACAAATATAACATTTAAGGCACATTTAACTAATGAATTGAGTAATATTGTACAATAAAATATTAAAAGTATAAGACAAATTGTGTTAAGTCACAATCATTTAGGAGCAAAATTTCAGAGCTTTAAATGCCCATGCTTTTTCAGAGACTCTGGGAATTGTAGTCCAAAAGTAACTTTTCCAAACTCCATTGATTATCTGCCTCCAGACAGACACACTTTTGAAACCACACAGGTTTGGCAAAGATCCTAGCTAGGAGATTTTTAAGTTATAGTTCACAAAAGTAACTTGTAAAAACCTCAACTAAGTCACTATGGCTTTATCAATCTCAGAATATACTTTCTTTTTCAGCAGTAAAACACAATAATGCTTAAGTCCTTGGTCTGCAGTGTGAGAGATCTATGCCACTGCAAGCAGAGGTTAAGCTTTCTTCTTTCTCTTCTTTTCCGACTGGAAAAACAGATGTCCCCTGGCCTTTCAAGATTAGGCTGTAAATTTCAGAACATGGGAAAAATACTTTTCTGAGTGACAAATCCTCAAATCCCCCAGCAAGATACTTTCCAAGTCGCACTGTCATTTCAGAACTTGATCTGCCTGCAAGCAGATGGCTTTTCTTTAACATGGCATAGAAGAGAAAAGAAGTTGTCAGACAATCTTTTTCTGTCGTCTTCACTAACAGTGTGAGAATTCACAATAGACTTAATGAAGAGCAATGAAAAAGCACAATACTTCCAAAACATAAACGTAAATGCCTTTCAATAGTACTTCGTACAACTTATTTCTCTGAGCATTACTTCCCTATTTTTAGAAATGCTACTTCATTTTTTAAAAATCTGGTTCAACTGAAGGGCCTTCCCAAAAGAGCCTTGGGATTATTACTTGAAAAGTGCTGCAGTTATATGTGTGTTCAGAGATATATCTTGTTACAATGTTAAATCATGAAGTGACTATGGAAACTAAACTGGATCATCATCACAATAGCAGAGCAATAAGGGGTAAGTGGGATAGAGGAAAAGCAAGAGTTATCTAATTTGTAAAGACATTTAAATGAAATATTAGCTTTATTGCTAATTTATTGATCCAGAACTGTAAAACCAGACTGACATGTTCCACAATGTTCTTCCTTGAGCTTTATGTTGTTACAGATGGCACATTATTAAGTATTCGTTCATTAAAATTTAAAAGCTTTACATACCTGCCCTCCATTTGTGACAGAAAAGATCCGTGTTGTTCCCCCACATAACTTCACATACCAAAGAAACCAAAGAGCAGAGACTTCATGTGTCTCAGAAGTTATGTTGACATTTACAAAGAGAGTAGCAAAATCTTTGGCAGCTCTGAGTACAAGACAAAAACACAAGACACAGATGGAGAAAGATTAAAAGTGTTTTTTTCTTCTATTCAACTGGTTGTCTGCTAAAGAAATATTGAAAAAATTCATAACCAACAAGGATTATGGCTTTTATCTGATTTACCTTCTCAAAAATGACATTGATCTATGACCCTGTATCATCATGTTTCTTCCTCTAAAATGGTTTTAGCATTCCTGATTGATGAAGAGACTACTCAACTTTCACATGTTTTGCCTCTTTTGGCTGGGCTAACACTATAATATTTTTCTATATTTATTTATTTTATCAGAAGCAAACCGAGTGTACAGTTGTGATATTTAAAAAAAACACAAAGTTTAAAAAACTTAGCATTATACTAAATGTCCTTTGACCAGTAGCTGGTCACTTGGAGTGCCTCTGGTGTTGCTATAAGAAGGTCCTCCATTGTGCATGTGGCAGGGCTCAGATTGCATTGTAAGGTCAACGTCTTTGTAGATGGCTGATTCTCTCATACCAGAAATGACTTGCAACATGCCAACAAACAAACCAGCCAATGGACCTTTTCAGGACCAACAATGACAATAATCTCAATCAACATTGAAGGCATGTCAGCTTCCAAAGAACAGCTTCTCTACAAACTGTGCTAAGAAGGGACTCTCCCAGCCAACGCAGTTGGTTGGGAGAGCGATTTGCCCCTCTCCCCAGAAGACAGAGAACGGAGGTTCCTTCGAACCTCCTAGAAGAAGGGAGGGGGCTGGCTGATCATGTGATCCAGCCTCCTTCCTTCAGTCTTGCTAAGACTTTCTACGAGTCAAGACCTGCCTTCTGGAGCTCTTCACAGCGGCGAGATCTCTTTACTCGATTCCTTCGGCGAGCAGGTCGGTCTCGGGGCGGGCAGGGGAGGTGGGGAGTTTTTTGCCCCTCCCCACCCGATCCACGGAGTCGGCCTTGCTTCGGGGATCGAGCCGGCCTCGGCTGTATTTAGCGCCGCCATTTTGCGGCGGCGGCTGAGCCTTTCTCTTTCGTGCCGCCAATTTTGCCGCGGTTGAGTTGCGGCCTAGCCTTCGGGGACGGCGATGCCGCCCTTCCGAAGGTGGTGCCGCCCTTCTTTTTCGCGCCGCCAGTTTTGCCACGGCGGCGTTGCGGCTTAGCCTTTGGGATGCAGCTTAGCCTTTAGGGGCGGCGATGCTCTTCCGAGGGAACGGGGATGCCCTCTCCGTCGCGCAGGAGTGGAGGGGCTGAGCGGCGAGTGCAGCCGCCGTGGCCGGGAGGCGGAGTACAGCCACCGCGGCCGCCGCCCCCTCGTTTGGGAAGGGCGCGATCCAAGCGGCGCGCGGCGTGTCTTTTAAAGGAGCGGGATGTATAGCTGCTCCAGGGGTTGCGCGCCACGTGGGTGCTTTTTGGCAGGCGCACAATTTGTCAGCGCCATTTTGATTTGTGGGGATGCTGTTAGGGGGATTGGGTGGCAACGGCTGCCATTTTTGGGCCGTATTTTAGTAGAGCGTTAGCGGCCGCCATTTTGGAAGCGTCTGCGACACAGTTAGTTGGAGCATAGGCCTAAGAGTTTTTTCGTTTTTCTGTCATGGTTCCTCAGGGTGGCACCGGTTTCAATCTATTCACCCATGCAGTCTCATGACCATAACATCTCAAAAACAGGACTGACCCATTAGACCCAATGCAATTCTCTGAATCAGCACCCCAAAAATACCAGGAACTGGCTCTAAAACGCATTCAATTTCGTTTGGTTGGGGCTGGGTTATATACCCAGGAGATCAGAAGAAGTTCTATTTCCCGACTCAGTTATAAAGCTCTATACCAGTGGTTCTCAACCGTCCTAATGCTGACCCCCCAATCATAAAATTATTTCTACCCCCCCCCCCCAACCGTGAAATTATTTCCATTGCTGGTTCAGAACTGTAATTTTGCTACTGTTATGAATTGTAATGCTAATATCTGTTGTGCTGGATTTGTTTTCATTCACTGGACCAGGTCTGGCACAGATACCCGCTAGGCCCAGGTTTGAATGCTGCTATTGCAAGGCACTGCTTGTGCCCTGTAGGCAAGAGAGGGCGATGGCACACGGTGTCTCTTCCAACTTCTTGATTCTATGATTTTTAGGCGCCATAGGCTGGCTTTTTCATCCAACTCTTTGATTCTATGATTCTATGGTGCCATGGGCACTCTCACGCTGCCTCCATGCAAGGATATTGGTACTCAAATATAGCTTTAGCGTTTTTAATAAACGTTTGGCGGTATAGGTAACTACACGCATAGATAGGTTTATGTGGGGTATCTTGCAGCTCTTGGACTTTATGGTTGTGGCAGGTTAGGAGGGTGCTATGAGGGACAACCCTGCGCTGGGTGCGGTGCTTGTTCTCATTACTGTTTTCTACTCCCTTCCGTTTCTTTAGGATGCCTTCAAAGAACAAGGGGGGCCCTAAGGGAAAGGATCCCGCAGAGAAGTCGGGTCACAAGCGCCCTTTACGTCAGGATGGGTCATTGTCGGATGAAGATGGAGTGTCTATGGAAGATCTAGAGGCCCTTCTGCGGCGTGTTAACCAAGTGGAAAAGGATAGGGGGGTTGGGTCTGGTGGGGCTGGTTCACGCCCCACTCGTCGGGCAAGCAAGAAGCAATTGTTTAAATCCTTGTTGTCCCGGGTTTCTATTTTAGAGTCGGCTTCAACCCTGGGGGCTGAAAGGGTGGTCCGGCTTACTGACCAACCGGCGGCTTCGGGGGCTGCCGAGGGATCTTCAAGGGTGTCTTCGGCTGTGCAGACCATCACCAGTCCAGAAGCACATCCGTCCGGGTCCTTGGCGGCTGCTGTGACCGGACCCAGTCAGCCCACGGCATTGGCATCCACGTCCAGTGCTGTGGCCGGGTCCACGCAGTCGGTGGGGTCGATGGCCGCTTCCACTGAGGTAGCGGGGTGCGAGCAGTTGGTGACGGCTGTCCCAGCAGGTACCTCCACCACACTCACATCAGCTTCCACCTCACTCACATGGCCCTGGGACCAGGGACGGGCTCAACCGGTGTTGGGGGTTCAGTCACATGCTGCTGTTGGGATTCAGTCTGCGGGTGGGTCGGAACCCAGTATAGGGGTTAATCGGGATGTTTCCACTACTCAATCGGGTAAACCGGCTACTGTCACCTTGGAATCGGCCTGAACTGGGGAAGCCAACAAATTTTGGGGCACTGCAAATTGGCCACCGCAGGCGACTCCTACTGTTAGTCTTTCAGGTTTAGGTTCCCATTTGGCAGCCAAAACTATGGAAAAGATATTGAGAAATGAGTATATCGATATCTTTTCCTTATACTTTCGGGATCTGAATAAGAAGGAGAAGGATGAGTTAGATGAAGAAAGTAAGGAGAAAATTAAGTCACGCAAGGTTGAGCAGAATTGGGAGAACTGGCTCCCTTGTTTTACGATGTACGCAAATCTGCTTTCTGATGCTGCTCCGGAAAGGGCTACAGCTTTGTGGCAGTATCAGAATATTATTAACAAGGCTTATGTTAGCGGCCCTCCTAATGCTTGGCTAGAGTATGATAGGCGTTTTAGAACTGAAGCGGCTTGCCACCCAGAAAAACGTTGGGACTTGATCGATGATCAAATTTGGATTGAAGTGATGAATCCATCTAGGGCTTCCTCTGCCTTGAAGGCGGACAGTGGGCACACTATTCAGAACACAGCGGGACAGCCCTCTCGGCAGGGGGCTCCCCAGCTGCAATCCCAGGGCCAAAAGCCTTTATGCTGGGAATTTGTGGCTCAGGGAGTCTGTTCACGGAAGGACTGTCGATACTCGCACTCGTGCTCTATTTGTTATGGGTCCTATCCATCCCGAAATTGCCCCAAGGGGAGGGCCGCGAGAGGTAATAATAGGGGCACCCAATTCATTAAGAAACCTTCAGGTCAGGCCGCAGTTTCACAAGGGCCCCAGCCCAATTAAGTTAAATCAGTTGAAGGTTTGGCTGGATTAGTACCTAGAAGGGGGCGGTTAAGTACCTTTGGGAAGGTTTTTCAGGGGGTTGGCATGTTCATATGTTGGGTCCCCAGTTTCCCACATTATCCTCTAATTGGAGATCCATGTAATTGGATGTGATCCCTGAATCAGGGGGCAGGGGGAAAATAGGACACTTACTGGCGATAAGCTCGCCCGGCGTTTGTTTGTCTGTTGTTTATTTTGCAGGGAATGCCAGGCTGGTGCATTGATGGAGAATCCTTGTTGTGGGCATAATTATGTCCACTGGGCGGAGAGATACGCCGGGAACTCGTCCTTTGGCCAGCGTCTGGGTGCGCTTCCACTGCATTGGTCGAGTGGAAGGGTGTTCGGGGCCTTCGTTGGGCCAGTGCTCCATATCGGAGGTAATGATCTGGGCCTGCTTAGCGGCAGGGCCCTGTATCTGCAAGCCCGTGCCGACATTTTTGAGATCTGGTACGCATGGTCCCGGGTTCACATCGCTTCGTCGGCCATTTTTCCACGCCTTCGGTGGCCAGGAGGCGGTGACGTCAGGAAGCTCGAGAAGGCCAGACAGCGTGTGAACTGGGCCATGCGCATGGCTTTGGCACAGAGCATACACCATGGAGACATTACACATGGCAAAACACGGTTTTACCATTATGATGGTATACACCTCACAGATTGGGCAACGCACAATTTTGGGCTGATTTGCGGCTAGGCATTCAGGAAGTTTTGGGGGCTTGGTGGGGGATGGGGGCGAAATAGACATTTGCCCCCAATCCGTGGCATAAATAGATCAGGAAAACCAGGAAAACACAGACATGGAGGTATACGCAAGGCACCCCTTAAGGGTGGGGGGCAGTGTACAACAATCACTCACCTAGAAGTCACCAAATGGGTGAGGGGACATCACTTGGCACAGAAATTGGAGAAGCCGATTACAATAATATGAGACAGGCTTCTCCAGACTTTTACCTTCAGGTTGCCCGGTTGGGGATCCAGGGCACACAGATATTACACACTAAATAGCCGAGGACGCTGCCTCGGCTAGCCACCAAGTTCCTAGACACATAGTTTAGTTCAGTTGAACTTAAATAGGTAACATTCAATAAAAGTTGCCCAATTTGAATCCATATCATGGTTGTCTGTCTCGTTATTTCTGGGGTTGAGGGGCAAGGGACTCTCCCAGCCAACGCAGTTGGCTGGGAGAGCGATTTGCCCCTCCCCCCAGAAGGCAGAGAATGGAGGTTCCTTCGAACCTCCTAGAAGAAGGGAGGGGGCTGGCTGATCACGTGAGCCAGCCTCCTTCCTTCAGTCTTGCTAAGACTTTCTACCCGCCACTCCCGCCCGTTGACAGTATATTTGGTTGCCCGTTGGAGCCGGGTAGGAATTTTTTGCCTCTCATGTTCTGGGGGGTTTTTTCGCCTACCCTATACTGTTATTAGGGGCTAGATGGGGTGGTTCGGTTTAACTAGGTCAGCATAAATAGATCAGGAAAACACAGACATGGAGGTATACGCAAGGCACCCCTTAAGGGTGGGGGGCAGTGTACAACAATCACTCACCTAGAAGTCACCAAATGGGTGAGGGGACATCACTTGGCACAGAAATTGGAGAAGCCGATTACAATAATATGAGACAGGCTTCTCCAGACTTTTACCTTCAGGTTGCCTGGTTGGGGATCCAGGGCACACAGATATTACACACTAAATAGCCGAGGACGCTGCCTCGGCTAGCCACCAAGTTCCTAGACACATAGTTTAGTTCAGTTGAACTTAAATAGGTAACATTCAATAAAAGTTGCCCAATTTGAATCCATATCATTGTTGTCTGTCTCGTTATTTCTGGGGTTGAGGGGCAAATGTGATGTGCTGCGTGCAGGGATAAACAACAGAAATGACCAAAAGTTCCAGGAATGATCTTAGTAGAGGAAAGACCATATATGCAAGTATAGAAGTGCTGTCCTTGTAAAACCAGGCCTTCAAGTCAGCAGTGCCCATAACACTGAAGAAAACAATATAGAGGTTATTACAGTAGAGCTTAATAATATCATGATTACGTCTATGTACAAGCACACAAATTGAGAGTTTTGTTTCTCCTCTCCTGAGAACTTTGGTATTTTTCTGGGAATTTGGTATATTCAGGTTTTTGCTGCTATGAGGACTGCAGAAAGAAAAGGAAAAAGTCACAACACCACTGTGATTGTAGCATTAGTCTTCTATTTTACTTTCTAGTTTCAAATGACTCTTGGGTGTATTTGTCTAGGAACTTGAACTCTATCCTGCATTCCAGTGAATAGGCTTAACATTCGTTTCATTACCAATCATCATGTTCTTAGTACAAATGTCTGAAGAGGGACTATATGCCTATTCAGTTGAAATACACTTGGGCTTAAAGCTAGTTGACTCACTGGGATTTACATAAGGATTGACGTATTACTCAGCAATTGATTCAAGAAGTAGCAAAAGATTTTAGGCCTTACTTTCAAACTCTACACTGAAGGCCAAAAGTAAACCCAGCACACATGGAGACTGCTGGGATGGGTTTTATTTATGTCCTCTTCCCATTTTAACTCTCAGTCACTCATCCAAAACTCTTACAAGAGTTGCTATATATATGTGGGTTGATTGTTCTGTTGGTTTCCACTTGAGAGAAAGAGAACATGGATAATCTTTGAATGCATGTATTTCCTATGGCATAATGAAAACTAAAAACGTGAACGTTAGGACAAAACCTTTTTAACATTAACTGAATTACCTACTTTGTCCAGCAATGTTTGTTAATAAACTCTTCCATTGTCATTTTGTCCAGTTTTTCAGCACATGGTGAATCCCAGGGTGCTTCAGCGGGTATCTAAGGAGAAATTTGACAAAACATTGCATTTTAACATTTGTGTTTGTAATTATCAGGGGAACTGCACTAAAACAGATTCATCAAAATAAAGCAGAGGTATTGGTACAAAAGTAGTTTAGCTGTTTTTCCATGGCTACAGTGGATGTTTTGTAATAGATATTATAAACCCATTTCCTACTCTGCCATGGCAGGCCCCAAACCCAAGTATGAGCACACTGGAAGCCACTAGGTCTGCTGGATGTTCAAAGCAAGGTGGAAATGTGGCTGTGGAAAGTTTAACCAGTTTCCCAAAAAGCTGGACAAAGAAAACTGTTTCACATGACATAGGAATATCTTATAGTGTAGTAAGCTTCCTGACCTTTGCAAATCTCTGAGAATCCACAGCTAAAGATGGCTAAGGGGACTGGAGAAATGAGACTCTTGCCCCTTCTCTATGAAATACTCTTTTAGTCTTTAAAATTTTAACACTGCAAGAATTTGGGGCCCTTCTACACACGCAGTAAAATCTGGAAGTAACCAGGATAAATGGGGAGGTGATTAAATGATGTTTGAGAAAAGTGTGGACAGAATCAGGTCATCAGCTTTAAAAGGTGCATGTAAAACCTGATTCCACCAACAAAAATGTGCACCTTTGCATTCCTGAAGTCATGCAAAACATGTGACTCCCTTCCATCCCCTTGTGTGAACTGCTTCTGCACACATGTGCATTTTAAAAGCCCAAAACACCTGATCAAACTGTCAAAAAATGGAGTCCTGGACACACAGGTGGCTAAAGGGAAGCACAACTGGAAAGCAATTAGAACAGCCATTCCATTCTTTAGATCTTTATAATATTAAACAGAGCTTGAATTTAGAGTTGGGTGAAGAGAATAAGAAATCTGCTTATGGATTTTTGGGATCTCCATATGAGCACATATGAGGTCTAGCGCATCTCTGAGAGATTTTTTTTTAAAAAAACCACTGGATGTCCCCTAACTGCCCTCTATCTTGATCCACTTCAAAAGAAGACCGCCCTGAGTCGCCTGCGGGCTGATATGGGCGGGATATAAGTGATGTAAATAAATAAATAAATAAATAAAGGCAAGAGTTTAGCAGGGGAGCATTTCCTGGGACTGAGAGGTTTGTGTGCAGATTTGCTGTCAGGTCCCAGGATGTTTTGCCCCACTTTTATGCAACATACAATGCTACCAAAGGAATACAAACACAACTAATAAAAGAGATCTAAGTGCAAACAATTTTCAGTTCCTCACCCACTGCAATGCTTGAAATTTGGGGTCTGAAGGAAAATATTATGGAGAGGAGACTATCTTATATGATTATTTATTTTCTTCAGCTTTTACCTTGCCTTCTTCGCAACATGAGACATTTGGAGACCACTTCCCTTGCCCCCACCACTACACCCCTGTCTTTGGTGAACCAACTATAGCCACTTTCCCCCTCATACACTGCTTTTCCCACTAAGCCATGTAGTGTGAGGATGGTTCACAAAAAAGACCTTCATCTGAGCTGGGCTCCCACAGTTGAGGAAGCAGGAATCCATTTTGTTTCCTTCTGCTTCAGGATAAGCTTTGTTTAAATTTAACTGGTTTCAGTGTTGCTTGTTTGAGAGGAGGGGTTTCTGTGTTTAAATTTAACTGCTTTCAGACTGCTTTGTTTGAGAGGCGGGGCTTCCTGAGTTTAAAAATTAACTGCTTTGTTTGAGAGGCGGGGCTTCCTGGTTATCCTATATAAACCAGCGTCTCAACCCAAGGGGCAGCTGGGCTCCCACAGAAGTTGAGGAAGCAGGAATCCATTTTGTTTCCTTCTGCTTCAGGATAAGCTTTGTTTAAATTTAACTGGTTTCAGTGTTGCTTGTTTGAGAGGAGGGGTTTCTGTGTTTAAATTTAACTGCTTTCAGAGCTGCTTTGTTTGAGAGGCGGGGCTTCCTGAGTTTAAAAATTAACTGCTTTGTTTGAGAGGCGGGGCTTCCTGAGTTTAAAAATTAACTGCTTTGTTTGAGAGGAGGGGCTTCCTGAGTTTAAAAATTAACTGCTTTGTTTGGAGGCGGGGCTTCCTGGTTATCTTATATAAACCAGTGTCGCGCGTGGACACTCAGTAACCTATACTTTCACCCCTGCATACAGACAACTTCAAACACACACCAAGAGAAGGTCATTAGCAACCTCCAGATGGAACAAACACAAAAACTTCCCGTCTCATGCACAAGCTGTGGCATGTTCAGCTTTTTCACACTACAATTACTCAATTACAGCTGCCCCAAGTGTACACAGATCACTCGCATGGAACACAGGATACGACAACTCGAGGACCGTATTAACACCCTTAAGGACATTCAGGAACTTGAGCTGTTCTTAGACACCACACACCACACTGTCCTAGACACGCAGCCCATATCACACCAACATTACGGGGAGGCTCAAGAGAACAGCACCTCAGATGTGGACAACCCTCAGGCTTGGAGAAATGTCACCCTTAGAAGGACACATAGGACCCGGAAGCCTCCTCAGAATACTTCCGCTCAGCTGCAGTTACACAATAGATTCCAAATTCTCACACAACTATCACCTGACCAAGAAACACAACATATTGGGGAAGACCAGAATGGCTTAGATACTGATCAGTGGCTCATCCTTGATCAGTGTGCAGGGGATAGCCCTGACTGGGACAACACTTCACAACATTCACACTTGCACAATCGTGCAGGTGTACCATCCCCAACCATAGACCAGGAGCAACAGGAACACATACAGGAGAACCATAGGCTCTTGGACGAATCTCAATGGATTGTCCTTGACGAATGCACCGGGGATGTTGAGGAGGAGGACAACACTTTTCACCTACACAATTCACACCAACAGGATCACTTTTCTGGAGACCTACACACTACATTGCACAAAAGGGGCCCTGTCATTCCCAAAAGTAAACAGGTCTTGGTAGTAGGCGACTCCCTCCTTAGAGGAACGGAAGCTGTCATTTCCAGACCAGATGGGATGGCTCGAGAAATATGCTGCCTACCGGGGGCAAAAATACACCATATCACTCAGAGGCTCACCAGGCTCCTCAAGCCCTATCACCGTCCTCCCCTCATGTTGATTCATGTAGGAACCAATGATACTGCAAGGCATATGTTTCAAAAGATCACAAATGATTTTCGAGCTCTAGGAGCAAAGCTAAAAGAATGTAATGTACAGGTGGTCTTTTCATCCCTCCTCCCTGTTGTAAGACACGGACCCACAAGAGCCAGAAAAATAGTACAGGTCAATAACTGGCTTAGAAAATGGTGTCAGGAGGAACGCTTTGGCTTCCTCGACCATGGCCTGCTTTTCCAGGAGGATGGCCTACTGGCAAGGGATGGGGTGCATCTCACACAAGTAGGAACACACCTTTTTGCTCACAGACTCGCAAACCTCATTAGACGCACTTTAAACTAGGTCCACCGGGGGAGGGGGACAACAGCCTTGCGAACACTACTTTACCCATAATGTCTGGGAATCGCCAGAAGGCTAAACGGAGGGCTGCACAAACACAACAAGGACCAAGTACCAAAAGCACAATAATCCCAATTAAACAGCTCAAGGGAAGATCTCAGGGGCTCACATGTCTTTACACTAATGCACAGAGCATGGGAAATAAACAAGACGAACTCCAACTTTTAGCACAACACCACAAATATGATATCATAGGGATCACTGAAACCTGGTGGGATGACTCCTATCGCTGGAATGTAGATATCGAGGGGTATAACCTCTTTCACAGAAACCGAACAAAGGGGAGAGGAGGCGGAGTAGCCTTATATGTCAAAAACTCTTATGCTGCAGAAGAGATTCAAGACAGAAATCTGGGAAACCAGCTTGAAATCATCTGGATAAGAATCAAGGGAACTGGGACTCAAAAAGATGTGGTTGTAGGCGTCTACTACAGACCCCCAAGCCAGGAGGAAGAACGCGATGAAGTCTTCTGCCAACAGTTGACCAAACAGGCACAGAGAAGAGATGTAGTAGTCATGGGCGATTTCAACTATCCCGATATTTGCTGGAAAACAAACTCGGCCAAGAGTACAAGGTCCAACAAATTCCTCGCTTGCCTTGCAGACAATTTCATGGTCCAGAAGGTAGAAGAGGCAACAAGGGGATTGGCTACTCTTGATCTCATCCTAACAAATGCGGAGGACCTGATCGATGCGGTCGAAGTGGTAGGATCCTTAGGGGCAAGTGACCATGTGCTCCTGCAATTTCAGGTACAAAGGAAGGCCGAAACTAAGACAAGTCAAACCCGCATTTTGGACTTTAGGAGAGCTGATTTCCAAAAAATGAAGGAAACGCTGAGCAGCATTCCGTGGACACAGATACTAAAAGACAAGGGAGTTACGGATGGATGGGAATTTCTCAAGAGTGAAATACTCAAGGCACAATTGCAAACCGTGCCAACAAAGAGAAAAAATAGGACAAGTGCAAAGAAGCCAGAATGGATGTCCAAAGAACTTCTAACTGTGCTAAGACACAAAAGAGACATGCAAAAGAAGTGGAAAAAGGGAGAAATCACCAAAGAAGAATTCAAACAAATGGCCAACACCTGTAGGGAAAAGGTCCGCAAGGCTAAAGCAAAAAACGAGCTCAGACTTGCCAGGGACATTAAAAACAATAAAAAGGGCTTCTATTCTTATGTCAGTAGAAAAAGGAAAAACAAGGAGGTGATAGGACCTCTTCGAGGAGAAGATGGGGCAATGCTGACAGGGGATAGGGAAAAGGCAGAACTACTTAATGCCTTCTTTGCCTCGGTCTTCTCACAAAAAGAGAGTCTTCAACCTCAGCAAGATGGAGTGGATGAGGGATTGGAGACATCCAACCCCAAATTGGGAAAGAAGTCGTCCAGGAATACCTGGCCGCTCTTAATGAGTTCAAGTCCCCAGGGCCAGATCAACTACACCCCAGAGTATTGAAGGAACTAGCGGAAGTCATCTCGGAACCATTGGCAACCATCTTTGAGAGTTCTTGGAGAACGGGAGAAGTTCCAGCAGATTGGAGGAGGGCCAATGTGGTCCCAATCTTCAAGAAGGGAAAAAAGGATGACCTAAACAACTACCATCCGGTCAGCCTCACGTCGATACCGGGCAAGATTCTGGAAAAGATTGTTAAGGAAGCGGTCTGCAAACACTTAGAAACAAATGCAGTCATCGCTAATAGTCAACATGGATTTATCAAAAACAAGTCATGCCAGACTAATCTGATCTCGTTCTTCGATAGAGCTACAAGCTGGGTAGATGCGGGGAATGCCGTGGATGTAGCGTACCTGGATTTCAGTAAGGCCTTCGACAAGGTCCCCCATGACCTTCTGGCAAGGAAACTAGTCCAATGTGGGCTGGGCAAAACTACGGTGAGGTGGATCTGTAATTGTAAATGGACGAACTCAGAGGATGCTCACTAATGCTTCCTCTTCATCCTGGAAAGAAGTGACGAGTGGAGTGCCGCAGGGTTCCGTCCTGGGCCGGTCCTGTTCAACATCTTTATTAATGACTTAGATGAAGGGCTAGAAGGCATGATCATCAAGTTTGCAGACGACACCAAATTGGGAGGGATAGCCAATACCCCAGAAGACAGGAGCAGAATTCAAAACGATCTGACAGATTAGAGAGATGGGCCAAAACTAACAAAATGAAGTTCAACAGTGACAAATGCAAGATACTCCACTTTGGCAGAAAAAATGAAATGCAAAGATACAGAATGGGTGACGCCTGGCTCGAGAGCAGTACGTGTGAAAAAGATCTTGGAGTCCTCGTGGACAACAAGTTAAACATGAGCCAACAATGTGATGTGGCGGCAAAAAAAGCCAATGGTATTTTGGCCTGCATCAATAGGAGCATAGTGTCTAGATCTAAGGAAGTAATGCTACCCCTCTATTCTGCTTTGGTTAGACCACACCTGGAATATTGTGTCCAATTCTGGGCACCACAATTCAAGAGAGATATTGACAAGCTGGAATGTGTCCAGAGGAGGGCGACTAAATTATCAAGGGTCTGGAGAACAAGCCCTATGAGGAGCGGCTTAAGGAGCTGGGCATGTTTAGCCTGAAGAAGAGAAGGCTGAGAGGAGATATGATAGCCATGTATAAATATGTGAGAGGAAGCCACAGGGAGGAGGGAGCAAGCTTGTTTTCTGCTTCCTTGGAGACTAGGACGCGGAACAATAGCTTCAAACTACAAGAAAGGAGATTCCATCTGAACATTAGGAAGAACTTCCTGACTGTGAGAGCCATTCAGCAGTGGAACTCTCTGCCCCGGAGTGTGGTGGAGGTTCCTTCTTTGGAAGCTTTTAAGCAGAGGCTGGATGGCCATTTGTCAGTAGGGCTGGGCGGTTTCGTTTCGTTAATTTGTAATTCGTTAATAATTCGTTAATTTTTTCAATTACAAAACGATAACGAACCATTCTGGAGCAATTATTTAAAAAAACGAATTTTCAAAAACGTTTTGTAAATGCTTCGTATTTCGATATTGTATTCGTTTCGTTATTGTTTTGAGGTCGTTTCGTTATTATTTCCGCATGTCTGGGCCAGTTTTATGGTTTAATTAGTGAAAAAAAAATTATAATATCACACCAACAGTCAACAACAGAGGGAGAGGGAAGCTTCAGAAGTGTTTTTTAGCGTATTGCGCGATCGCGGCCGCCATTAACGAATCGATTCGTTATTGTTTCGTTATTGTTTTGTAATTTTTTTACCATTTACGAAATTTCGTAAATATCGAACTTTTTAAAAGGAAAAATTTGTAATTATTTTAAATATCGAAACAAAAAAACCCCCCAAATACAAATCGATTTTAGAAACAAATTTTTCCGTTGTTACCCAGGCCTATTTGTCAGGGGTAGTTTGAATGCAATATTCCTGCTTCTTGGCAGGGGGTTGGACTGGATGGCTCATGAGGTCTCTTCCAACTCTTTGATTCTATGATTCTATGATCTCACTTTCTTATCTAAGGGAATGCCATAACAAATCAAAGAGAGCATACAAGTTCCATGACACCTAGTTAATGTTCATTATTTTAAAAGAACTAACTTACTAATGGAATAATTAATTCTTTATGCCCATTTCAGGCTACATAACAGCGTGTACACATTGCAGGTTATCATGGCAATTTCCCCTGGTGACAAAGGCCTTGCTCACTACAACTTTCCTTATCTGTTGTACAAATTCAAAGCAGATGGCCAAACAACAGTATTGTGATACTGATTTGCTCTATTTTAAATTGGGACTTTTCTTTTTATACAATGCTTTGATAGAGAGCACTTGCTGCCTCTTTACCGATTTCTTCTTGTGTTGCTTACATAGAAATTTCATGCTTTTCCACATTGAGCCTTTGTAAATACTGCAAATACTTAGTGATTCCCATGATATACCTTCAGTGTTCCCAACATACCTTTTCCCCCAGTTCATCCATTGTTCTCCAAAAATTGTTAAAATCTAGATATGTGAAAGGATTCCATGTTGAAGGAAAGAAACCATACAGCGGGTAGGATTTCCCCTGTAAATTACAAATAAGAAAGTGCTGGGTTTCCTGGCATCTGTGTTAGACTTCATAGGCAATAATTACTATACAATTATAGCAACTAATCCAACAACGTTCAATAAAAATTCAAAAAACAATTCTGGGAATGAATCCATAAACAATATGCATTGAAAAAAAGGATGAATTACACAAAAGTCATATGGTTTTTCACAAAATGCCAACACAAATTTTCCACAGGGTTGTCTTACTGTGTGCTCTTTAACTACAATTACAACCTAAGGAAAATATTTTGTCATTTTGTGAAATATAAATCGAAGTGAAAAGAAACCAAAGAGCAAATACGTTGCATACTGATTCTTCCAGGAATATTCAGTTGTTTATGGTATTTGTTGCTGCATTATCAGACATGTGACCTAATCATTCAAATGTGGTTTAGAACATGTTTCATAGAAGTGCAAATCATAAGAACAAAGTACAACAATCCTACATTATGACGGAACAATGTAACAATGTAGATTTTGAGCTGTTTCTCAAGATTCTTCTTAACCTCATCACTATGACTTCCAATACTGGGTCTCAATGGCTGGATCTGCACTGCCATATAAAATCCAGATTATCTGCTTTGAACTGGATTATATGGCAATGTAGACTCATATAATCCACTTCAAAGCAGATAATGTGCTTTTATACTCTGGTTTATATGACAGTGTAGATAGATACAGCTACTATGTTGTTGAGCTCCTCGGAATTTTTGACTGTTACCCCTGACAGCTGAGACTCCTGGAAACTTAAATCTAACATCATCTAGGGATCCAAGTTTGGAAAATACCATTCTCATGTTAGGAGAGAGCATACTCTACACACTTAGTAGTTCGCATTCTGCTTTGGAGAGAATTAGTATTAATGGTTTTTAACCAGGTTGAATATGGACTAGATTGTAGTTCTGACTTCACTAAAGACATATGTAAAGCAAAAGGGTGTGGTGTTTGATGTGTTACCAATATAAATTCAGACATCAGTAGGTTTTCACCACTGGGTGGCTTACTATGTCAATTCCCACAACGGTCAACAGGGAAACCAGGAGAAAGTTGCTGTTAGGGCCAACCCACCATATTGGAGAAGGCTAGACATGAACCTGCTGCAAATGAGAGGTCAAACTAGGTTATATGTTTAGTTGAGCGTGTTTTGAGAAACAATCCTTCTTCTAGTGGAAAAACAGAACTGTTTGTCCTAAAACAGGCTTTCCTTGTCACTCATGTCTCACCACTTTGGTTGCTTTGTTTTATGATTAGTCATCAGCAAGCAAACAAGGTCTTGTAGTACGTGCCTGTAAAGACATGCATCTCCTAAGAGCTGTTGGCATGAAAATGGCTTATATGCATGCAATGTGCACTTTCTCAGAATGTCTACTTTGGCCCTAGGTAAGCAATTGCATAATGTGACATTTGCAAACTTTCTAGGTGGCAGCAAAACAGAATTTGCTGTACTATTCTCCGCCCATCTCCACAACAACATTTAAAAACACTTCCTCTTCCAGTTCTCTGTTACTTGGCTCTCTGAGTTATTTTTACGCTGCTTTTAGAAGAATACCTTGTGATTTATTTTTGGGACTGTAATATCATTATTTTATTATTTATATCATTGGTTAGATTTTGTTGTTCAGTTTTACTAGCTCAGGCTCTGTCTTCATTGCCATATAAAATCCGGATTATCTGATTTGAACTGGATTATATGGTAGTGTAGACTCAAATAATCCAGTTCAAAGCAGATAATGTGGATTATCTGCCTTGATATTCTGGGTTATTTGGCTGTGTGGAAGGGCCCAAACTGGAGGAGGAAACAGGGCAAACAACTTAGCATATATTTTGAACAGAAGCACACAAACATCCCCATACACTAATTTGAAATCAAAAGATTTGTAATGTTCAAGGTTCATCATTCAATAGCGTATGTATGTAAATCTTAACAGACATTTTTGTTCTATGTTATTATAGATACTTGTGCATTGTTTGCTCATCATTCAATAGCCCCAGGAATAAAAAAAAGTTAATCATTACTGACATCTAGGTTTTCTAACCTCTGAGCAATGTGGGGAGGGGGGGGGGATAACATTTATTTTGTTCTTTCAGCTGGTTTAATTGCTCTGCTCCTGCAAAGCTATCATCAATTTGATCTTTAAAACAGAAAGTCAAAACAGAAAACATTAAATCTTCAAAGGAAACACAACTGCTTGCTTTTGTATGGAAAGATTTTCCTCACCTTTTCTGCCAACATTGTTGTTCAATGTCCTAAGAGATATGAGCTGACACACAAAAATTGGACAAGGATAGAAGGACAGAGCAAGGTTTTGCCAATTAAAATCATGCTCTGGTTTCCCCTAGATGGGAAGAGTAGTTTGGAGTGTTTCCCAGCTTTAGAAGGCCAGAAAATCAGGCTGAGATAAAGCTGTAACTGAATAAAAGAATAATGAATGAGGATGTTACAGGATGAGTATTGGAAGGTACACCCCTCTTAAATCAACTCTAAATTCTGTAAGTGACACGGACCTAGCCAATGTACGGCATTGTCAGTGTGGCTTTAGGCCAAGGTTGTTCTGCCAGTTTTCACTATTTAATTTATCTGATCAGATGTGGGATTTATTTTTGCAAGAGCATGAAAACACTTTAGAGGATTTCCTCAAAAACAAATTTTACATGTCGCCTTCTTCCATTAGTAGTGCAATGTTTGGTATATTTTGTGAGCAAAAATCTTTCAGGAGGGGAAAATGAAATAACTGCACAACATATTTTGGTTGGTAACCCTATGAGGAGAGGACAAGCATGATGTAGTGGTCTGAGTGTTGGACTGTAGGTGCATCTACACTGCAGTATTTATTCAGTTTGACACCACTTTAACTGTCATAGCTCAATGCTATGGAATCATGGGAGCTGTAGTTTGACAGAGAAGGCTAAAGACCTTAATTCCATAGTATTGTTCTTGGCAGTTATAGTGGTATCAAACTGCATTAATTATACAGCACAGGCTCACCTTATGGCTTTTGAAACCAGGGTTTAACTCCCTGCTCAGCTCTGGAAATCCACTTGAGCAAGTCATATTTTCAGCCTTACAGGAAGGTAAAAACAAATCCCCACTAATCATATCTTGCCTGTGATTGGTTTGCCTTAGGGTGACCAAGAGTTAGAAATGATTTAAGATACACATCAAGCTCTAGGAGATATGATATGATTGGAAGCATGTTATTCAGTTAACGCAAGCATAATCTATTATGCCTATTTCATAATCACCAGATACAAACATTCGAGGAAAGGCTAACAGACTGCAGTATTTACACAAGAACAATTAACATTCAAGACAGCAATTTCTCTTCAACAATCATGCAACTATTCTAAGTGTTTTGTATTCAAAACGTTAAGTGTTCTGAGTAAGAACTGAGAACTTGTACTTAAATTGGTAAAATTGGCCTGAAGGATATAAGGGGTGGTATGAATGCAATGAAGCTGGGTTGACATAGCAACAGGCTTTTATTTACATGTGACATTGGCTAAGACGTGCATGAGTGCTCATTTTGAATGCTCTTTTTTGGCTTTTTCTTTGAAATGCCATTTGTTCTTCAGGATGCTTTTCTGTGTTGATCTGTCTTTCCATTGGCCTCTTACTTTTTTCAGTTTTGTATTTTATTGTGCTGTATTTATTTATTCCTTGCTTTCACTAACAAAACTGAGATTCAATGTCACAAGTAAACTCTCTATGGAACTAAATAAATATTTTTGGTTTTTTTGTTCAGTCGTTTCCGACTGATCGTGACCTTATGGACCAGCCCACGCCAGAGCTCCCTGTTGGCCATCACAGCTCCTTCAAGGTCAAGCCAGTCACTTCAAGGGTACCATCTATCCGTCTTGCCCTTGGTCAGCCCCTCTTCCTTTTTCCTTCCATTTCCCCCAGCATCATTATCTTCTCTAAGCTTTCTTGTCTTCTCATTATGTGGCCAAAGTAGTTCATCTTTGCCTCTAATATCCTTTCCTCCATTGAGCAGTTGGGCATTATTTCCTGGAGTATAGAGTGGTTTGTTCTTCTCGCGGTCCAAGGCACTCTCAGAATTTTCCTCCAGCACCACAGTTCAAAAGCATCTATCTTCCTTTGCTCAGCTTTCCTTATGATCCAGCTTTTGCATCCATAGGTGACTATGGGGAATACCTTTGCTTTAACTATGTGGATCTTCATTGTCAATGTAATGTCTCTATTCTTAATTATTTTATTGAGATTTATCCATTAAAAGCTTTACATATTGATGGAAGCACAGAGAATCAGCTACAGTATAGTCTCCCTGGGAAGGAGTCCCAGCATGGACACTGGGTGAGGACAACCCGGTGTCCTCACACCTACTTTCTGAGAGTGCCTTGGACCGCCTTTTATGATCAGACTAAATCACCCAGTGTCTGTCGTAGTCAAAGTGTGACAGTGATGAAAAATCTTTTGGGGAACATGGTGAAGGAAACAGAAACTCCAAGTCACTTAAAATTATTCTTAAAAAGAAAAAGTACAATTCAGGCACAGTTCCTTGGTGGAATACTTCAGTATCCTGTTCTATTGTACCATTCATAAAGTCTGTATGAGTGTATTCACTGCTGAAGTGTAAAAGAAAAATAGAAGGAGTCAAGTCTATTATAGGACAAAAGCTGTTTGAGGCATACAAGTTATTCAAGTCAAGGATGGGGACTGTGTTTGAAGCTCTCAACTTAACCAATCTAGACACAAATTAATACTCATCCCATTGAATTAAGGTACAGGTCTTTCCAAAGCACCTTCATTGGTAGAATAATGAACATACCTTTACTTCTGAAACTGATATACAATATTATTCCATTGACAAAACTCAGTGCTGTGGACAAATTTATAGCTTTGGAAAGAGGATAAATACAGTGCTCTGTGAATGTATAAAACTTCATGATTCTGCTAAGTTCTAAATAAATTTCCTGCACTCAGATGTACTTGATTGTTCGTCCATATGCTCATAGCAATTCATTTTAGAAGAATAAAACATACATAAACAATTTTACATTGTTAAAATAACAAAAAATAATCAAACTACAAGAAAGGAGATTCCATCTGAACATTAGGAAGAACTTCCTGACTCTGAGAGCTGTTAAGCAGTGGAACTCTCTGCCCCGGAATGTGGTGGAGGCTCCTTCTTCAGAGGCTTTTAAACATAGGCTGGATGGTCATCTGTTGGGGGTGCTTTGAATGCAATTTTCCTGCTTCTTGGCAGGGGGTTGGACTGGATGGCCCAGGAGGTCTCTTCCAACTCTATAATTCCATGATTCTATGATTCTAAAAGCAGCCAGGTTTTTAACAATAACAACAACATTAATAATTCTGTAATAGTAAGCGCAGCAGCTTTTGGACTAAAGCCCACTTCTTCAGGTACATGAAAGCTTATACAAAATAAAACTTCATTTTTTAAAAAGATCACACAAAATTCTTCATTTATATTTTGCTGCAACAGACTAACTTCTATCATCTTAGAAATTTTATCAGATTGTCAATAAATGAATAGAAAAGTTCTACTTGTGATCCATGTTCTCGCATCATATTATTTCAACAATTCCCCCCCCCCTTACATTTGTGTGCAGGATCCCCGCGTCCTCTACATCCACTTTGTATGTTTCTATGCCAAGTTCTTTAGCTAGTCGCAGAATTCGATTCTGTGTAGGTCCTACGTAGGCTCCACCAACATCTACATAGTTCACTTGCTTGTTCTGTAAAGAGAGACAAGTAGGGTCTGTGACACAATATGTTGAAAATACTCAAGTTTCATAAAAATAAAGAAAACTATCTCAGAATTAGGCCTAACTCATATATTCAAACTCAGAACCACTGTATGTTTTCTGTACATGGTTTAGGGGATTAAATAGAATCTTTTGCAGCAGTGTAACACAATTTTCCAAAATGCCTTGCAGTACAACATATATGCAAAATACAAGGATGGGTTAAAATAATATCGCTTACCCTAATTGTGTGTGTCCGTCCACCAACTCTGTCTCGTGCTTCTAAAACCACAACCTTAAGTCCAGATTCAGATAACAGCTTAGCTGCTGACAGACCTAAAGTAATGATAAAACAGTATTTTTCAGTCATTCAGTACTATTACTACTGTTACTCTCTTATGTATACATGTGTGTGTATCTAGGTCAGTCAAATGTAAATAATGTCTCATCTCTGGAAAGGATGGGAGCAGGAAAATTCTCTAAAATACCCATTTGACTGGAAAATTCTCTGAAATACCCATTTGACCTGTATAGTTTTATATCAAAGTTTGAAAGTATACACAAATCACTAACTACTTGCAATTCATTCATTTTCATAAGAAGAAAATACAATATAACTATTACATCACTTTTGTAACTTAATGAGAGATAACCAGTCTTTTTGCCCTGCAATTGTAACATTTAGATATCTTTCACATTGCAGTACTGTGGCCTAACAAAATGGTACAGAAGTAAACACGATATGGCCCAATTAGATGAGAATAGGCCAGTGACTAAACAACACCAAGGATCTCATAAATACTATTCAGTCCTTCTCAAAATAAAGGTGTATACATGCTAGTAGTTTGCCTAGTAATATAGAAGGTCTTGAGTAAGTGAGAAAGAATTTCATAACATCTCAATAAATCTCAGAACACAGAACTCCCAACAATCAGAGGAAGGAAGCAGTCTGTCTTCCAATCATGTGAATAGCAGTGGAAACATAATCCATCCATTGACTCTCTATCAGCTGGCACCGAGACAAGAGGAAAACACTTTCCAGAGCACTTCCTCTTGCTCTCAGAACTAGGATTGCAATGTATAGAACCTAAAGATCATGTTGGACATGGAGCAGCCTGCAACAATGTAGAAATCAAATAGGGAAAGGCTCTGGATTATGTTTTGGATCTTTATGTTTATGACATATATTTCCCTCAGTTTACAGTGTCTTCAGGATGTAGTAACTCCTAACTGTAAAGCCCTATTCAAGAAATTAAGAAGCAGACACAATTAACATGCAGTTAACAGATGAGTGCTAGTCTGCCCCTCTCCCCACTGTAGAGAAAGCAATAGTCTGCAAAGAGAGACATCTTTCACGCTGCTTGCTGAGTGTCCATGCAATTTGTAACCCTAAAATTCAGGGATCCCTCATCCTGGAGAGAACTTCTAGGCATAGCAGGGAACTTCCTGTCTTCAAATGGCTACTTTTGGTGTGAGGAAGATGAAAATCGAGGTCTAGCATTCTCCACAACTTCATATGTGGATCATAAACTGCATTTTAAACAACAGAACAGGGATTTGGGTATTACATAAGGATGAAATAGAGAATATTTCTAGGTTGTTGTAGTTTTTTTGGGCTGTATGGCCATGTTCTAAAAGCATTCTCTTCTGGCGTTTTGCCTGAGTCTATGGCCTGCCATAGATGCAGGTGAAACATCAGGAGAGAATGCTTCTAGTACATGGCCATACAGCCCGAAAAACTTACAACAACCCAGTGATTCTGGCCATGAAAGCCTTTGACAATACAGAGAATGTTTCTTTTTCTGTATGGGGAACAAACATTCAAGCTCTGCACGTAGGAAAGTGATGGTACAGCTGTTGCTGCTAAAACAGTTTTGGGAGAAGATGAGTAGAAGCTGGTGATAGATTATTTCTTTTCCTGCCAGCAACGTTTCCAGTCAAAATTCAATGTCTGCTTTGTTTTCCTTCAGAATTTTAAATACAGAAGTGGGGTTCTTTCCTTCTTAAACCACAGGGCAGTTCTACAACCACGTGATAAGTATCTGATCTCATGATGAGTTCTGGCTCTTCCAAATAGTCACAAATGTGGAGGTCTGGTAAATTCCAGTTTAAATTGTATCAGATGTGCAGAAATTGTTGGTTTCTTTATCATCCATCAATTAATTAGATGATTCTGGCTCGGAAGGTGGCTGAGGCTGTAGAACCAGGAGCGGGGGAGGGTACGCAGTGTTGAGGTGTCTTGTAGTGCCACAGAACCTGTTTTCTTCCCAGAGCCCCCTGTAGTCTGGAGAAGGATAATTTAATTTGTAGTCATTGGAAGAGACAGACAATAGATTCAAATCATGGTTTCAATTCATTGTCTGGCTGGTTCTGCCCCTGAATGGGTGGATCCAGATTGAAGTTTCCATTCTGTCCAGATGGGCAAATATATATCTGGAAGCAAGTTAGGTTTCCAGGCAGTTTGCTCCAAACTTCATCCTAGCCCCTCTCCATACATATGAAGTCATTAGGGCTGGGCGGTTTCGTTTCGTTAATTCGTAATTCGTTAATAATTCGTTAATTTTTTCAATTACAAAACGATAACGAACCATTCTGGAGCAATTATTTAAAAAAACGAATTTTCAAAAACGTTTTGTAAATGCTTCGTATTTCGATATTGTATTCGTTTCGTTATTGTTTTGAGGTCGTTTCGTTATTATTTCCGCATGTCTGGGCCAGTTTTATGGTTTAATTAGTGAAAAAAAATTATAATATCACACCAACAGTCAACAACAGAGGGAGAGGGAAGCTTCAGAAGGTTTTGGAGGTTTTTTAGCGTATTTCGCGGTCGCGTCCGCCATTAACGAATCGATTCGTTATTGTTTCAGAAATCGATTCATTAATTTTTTACCATTTACGAAATTTCGTAAATATCGAACTTTTTAAAAGGAAAATTTTGTAATTATTTTAAATATCGAAACAAAAAAAACCCCAAATACAAATCGATTTTAGAAACAAATTTTTCTGTTGTTACCCAGGCCTAGAAGTCATGTCATGCATATTTCCAATTTGTCACAACTTCATGGGGGCAGGATTGGATAACAAGTGTCTCAAAGGCACTGGTTACAGGGGTTCCCCTTAGAGGACTGAAGAAATATGTCATATTATATCCTCTGGTTTACAAGACCATGCTGGGCATCTGCAGGGTTGGGCACTCTCATGCTATCCCAAGGACTTTGTAATGATCAACAATGAGTTGGTTGATGCCTGAATTCAGACCTGTGTGTGTGTGCAATAAAGTTGTGGCCTATTTCTATCCAATGAAAAAGTGTCTATCTGGTCATTTTCTGAGTGCAGTGGAGCTCACCCAAATACACACAAGGAGAAAAAAATATGAACGGTGGCAAATCTAATATACTTTTAATCCTTACTCCCTCTACATGTCTTTTTTTGCTCCAAACCTAAAAGGCCCTGAATACTATAACTCTACCTCTAGAAGGAATAGATCCAGATAATTGATCTAACTCTTTATTATCTTTTACGAGGAGCAGTGACCAAATCTGTTCATAAGGGTTCCAAATATAGCTACAAAATCAAGACATAATGGCAGGGGCGGTTGTGTATATGTGTGTTTCTAAAAAATCATTTTCTAATATTCCCCAGCATCATGAATGGCCTTTCACAGAAGTTGTAGTAGCACATTGGATAGAGTACCTTTTACTTGTCCTACAGAAAATGTTTTCCCTAGTTAGGCATTACCTATTTAGTAGGCCTGTTTGATCAAGAAAAAATTTGTTTCTAAAATCGATTTGTAATTGGGGTGTTTTTTTTGTTTCGATATTTAAAATAATTACAAAACTTTCCAAAAAAAAGTTTCGGTATTTACGAAATTTCGTAAATATTAACAAAACATTTTGTAAAGATGGGGCCTTTTTCAATATTTTTAAAATATTTTTTAAATTTAATTATTAAATAATTTAGTAGAATAGGGAGGAGAAATTAAGGGAAGGCAGGCACTCACTCTGGCGGGCCCTCTCGCTCGCCGCTCGCCCTCTCGCTCGCCGCTCGCCCTCTCACTCGCCCTCTCGCTCGCCGCTCGCCCTCTCGCTCGCCGCTCGCCCTCTCACGCTCGCCCTCTCGCTCGCCCTCTCGCTCGCCGCTCGCCCTCTCGCTCGCTGCTCGCCCTCGCCGCTCGCCCGCTCGCCCTCTCGCCCTCTCGCCGCTCACCCTCGCCCTCTCGCTCGCCCTCTCGCTCGCTTGCTCAGCCGGCGCGGAGAGAGGAGAGCTCCCAGCAAGCCAGGCGGCCATCTTACGTATTTCCGAAATGGACGGAAATACAAAATTTTTTGGCGCCTGCCGTTTCGATATTTAAAAACCCTTCCGGGTTTGAAAATATGTTTTGTTATCGTTTCGTATATGCAAAAAATAACGAATGTTTAACGAATTAACGAATTAACGAACGAAACCGCACAGGCCTACTATTTAGCCCCCAAGAGCATACACAGACTGATCGATAGCTAGATGGGATGATTGATCACATCTGTCATTTTAATATCCTTTGATTTGTACATACACAGATGCTCTTACCATCAGAACTAGCACACAGTTCCCTGTTTTATTCTTTAGCTCTCTCTTTTTGAAGTTTGAATATATTGTTCACCTTAGCACTTTGAGAAGAAATTAGACACTGCCTTTTCTCCTCACCATGTTTCAAGGAAACCTTCCTCTCACAAATTTGACTCATTTGTGAGCTCTTGGCACAATACTTGTTATTTGATCAGGATAAATAAGTCATGGCCCTTTGAATGATCTGCCCAGGCGTTTCCATAGTAACTCAACTCAAGTTTCATCGGCTTGGAGGAAAACTGTGTCCCAAATCAATTCTACAGTGCTATTAAAGGCCTTAAACTGTTGTCACTAAATGGAGCATCAGGACTGACCTACTTCTTCAAGAAGTCCTTGAACTCATCACATCCAAACACAGATGCACTCTTTCTATATACAATTTGAGATATGGTCCAGGAAAATAAAAAGAAAGATTCATGTTAAACTAAAGACTACAAACTAATTCTGAACAGCTGCCCAGTTTACCTAGCAGAAGCAGACTATTGCTGGATAACATCCTGCTTTTAACTTTTTTAAAAAATTGCACAATTGCAAACTCTCATAGCTAACACTCTAAATATGTGAAAATGATGTTAAGTAACAAAGACATGGGGAAAAAAAACAAAGGGTTATGCATTTCGGCTGTATACAGACCCTGTTTCTGTTTATCCCAGATTATCTGACAGTGCAGACTTATATAATACAGTTTAAAGTAGAAAACCTGGGATCAGATTCTGGGATATAGGGTCTGT